AGCGGTTTCTCTCAGAACTTTACCTGGCCGTGCTGCTAGTTCAGTTTGTGGCTCCCTGATCTGGACCCGCTTTGGGGCCACAGGAGAATTAAGAAAACAGGCGAAAAGAATGGCAAACGCCCCCTCATATCTTTCCTTCGGCCACGGCCCACTCGCTTCCTCCCCCACCCTCCCCTCCCACTTCTCAGCGTCCTCAGCCGGTCGCTTCTGTGTTTGGTCCAGGCTTCTAGTTACAGTCAGCTGGGAGGATAGTTTGTAGTGGGTGTTCTCCATCTTGGCCCTGTTTCCCGTGTTGTTTTACTTTGGGTTAGTTAGAGGGCTTTTTGCTGTCATTTTTGTTTTTTGCTTGTTCGTTTCTTATTTTAAAGAAATATACATATAAAATAGTGGAATTTCAGTAATTCAGATAACTTGAGGCAAAAAGCACCCTGAATTATAGGATATAAAGAAACTTTTGCTGGTTTCCTGTGTGTTTGTTTGGCGGTTTCCTGCATGCTTGGCAGTTTCCCAAAAGGTATTCTGTGGATGTGACTCTAAAGGATGTTAATTTGAAGAGTAACCCCTTTCCAATTTAGAAAACACTGCATACTCTATCTCCTTAGAAATTCACAGGATACAGTAACACATAAAGGCTCTGAGAAGGCCTGCAGTCGAGTCACCCAGTATTTCTCAACTTCCAAAACACATTTGACCACAGAACTCTATTTTTTAAAAAAAGTTTATTTTTCGGTTAGAGTTGACATTCAGTATTATTTTATATTAGTTTCAGGTGTACGGCCTAGTGGTAAGACAATTATATAATTCAGAACTGTGTTTTTATATAACTTATTGATTGCCCTAACCTGTGGCTGCAAATATACTCCAGAAAGAGTGACATATGTTACTATTTAATTTTGGCAGTTCCTCTAAGGAGTAGATAAGAATGGTTTAATTAAGGACCTTGTGAAAAGCATAGGCTGGCCATGGGCTTGCATTTCATTTACACTGGATGTGTTTCTAAAGAATTCTCCTAACGGAGGCACACCCATGTTTAAATTAAGCTTACGTTTGATTTATAAGACAGACCGGCGAGCCAAAATGCACTTCAGAGAGATCATCTAGATCTCTAGATCCAGCCATCATTCCAGTGGCTGGAAACCTTTTGTACTAAGCCCTGCATTAGTCCTTGATCACTATTCAGTCTTTCAAAATCACTGTGCTTCTACTAGGTCAGAAATATAAAGGCAAGCCTTGCTATTTTATAGAAAGTTACTTGAATATCTATAGCTCTTAAAATACCTTGGCCATTTGCAGTAAACCTTAGGGACACTGCAAATTATGACACTATTTTACAAGGGAAGAGACAGATCCACAGGATCTATTTTTAACCATCATAAGAAGAGAGAAAAAGAGCACTCGGTAAAAACGCAACTATTATTAACATTTTACTTTGTTTTAATCCATTTTTTTCGTTTTTAAAATGAACATAGTAGTTATGTCATTGTATAGACAACTTTTATTATGATTTTTAAAAAGCAGCTTGAACTATTATGTTTTCTCATTAAAAACTTCATAGCTTACACTGAAATTTTTCAGAACTGTTGAACATTTTCATTTTTAAATTTTTGTAAACAAACAGAATGGGTTATGGGGTATGCATCTTTAAATGCTCTTAATAGATATTGTCACGTTGTTTTCCAGAGGGTGAGCCAACTCTTCATAGAGTTTATTTTAAAATTCCCTTCATGAGGCTGTTAGGTACAATGAGTACAGTCGTTAGAGGGACAAAGTAAACAGAATAGTACATCCCTTCTAGAAGTTACTCAGTATCACCTCTTCCCTTATCATTTCTCACCTGTTTGATCTTTAACTCTCTAATTTACTGTGACAGGTTTGTTTTATTTTACGATTCAGGAAATAAGGTGAGACAAACATTTATCATTTTGTCTAAATCACCATTTGTGGTTAATCTTGTCTCAATAGATTTGGGATAAAACCAGCTTGGAATGTTTGAAAGTGTTAACGGGGCACACTGGCTCTGTCCTTTGTCTCCAGTACGATGAACGTGTCATTGTGACTGGCTCTTCAGACTCGACAGTGAGGTGAGTGATTTGGCGTCATGGGTCCGAACTCGTACCTTCCACGAGGAGATGGAGACTCACACCGTCGCCTGCGGTGAGCACACGCACGCTGCGTGTCATTTCGAATGCTGTATCAGAACCATTTTAGGTGCGGGTGCCTTTGCGCTGAGTGGTAGGAAAGCTAACTTTTGTTTAGGTCCTCTTCCCGTCACCATGTGTGCAGAGGTGGCAACAGGCTTTCCTGCAAAAGCACACTGCCTGGTGTGGGGCTGGCTCCGTCCTCCTGGGAGACGGTGGCCCGGAGCAACGGGAAGGAAGGCAGGTGTCCCAGGAGCATGGAGGGCGGTCACCCACATGTGCTGAAGGGACCAGAAGTGGTAGTTTGCAGAACGTTTTGAGGGACCCAGAGAGAGTGCTAGATGTTTTGTAGAATGTTATCCGATTGAATTCTCACACCAACCTGTCTTAGGAGATAGATATTATCTTTTTTTCTAGGTGTATTAGGAAACCAGGATCAGAGAGGTTAAGTGATTTGCTCAGTCACGTGGTTAATTTTGGACCTCGAATTTGTATCATTCAAGACTGTCCTCGCGTATCGCGTGACCTATCCAGTAATGGAGGCACTGGCTTTCAGACGCCGCTGTGGAGCGGAGTGATGGCCGCGGAGACGGCCGTGGTCCGTAGTGGAAGGGAGTCGGCGGTGCTGGTTGGAAGTTGAAAGAGTAGAAAGGAAACGTTATGGGGAGCCACTCCTAAAGCACTGGGACGCACAGTCTGGGTGGCTTTGCAGCCCAGTGTGGCGAGGACTTGGTCTGGGCCCGGAGACCCAGCAGCAGAGCCTCGTCTGGCCTGCTGGCGCGGGGAAGCACGCGGCAGTCCTCGGCTGAGGCAGGCTGGTAGAGCGGGGTTTCGCGGGCACACCTCAAGGGCTGCGGTAGGCGCCAGCGCCTTCCCCCTGACTCAGTGCCTCCCGGCCACTTCGGCCGTAGACCACGCCTCAGCCTCGGACGCCTGAGTCTGTCCTCTACTCTGCGTGGACTTGTCCTCTGAGGACAGTGGGGTTGCAGAGGACCTATGACGAAACGCTGCCCCAGTCCCGGGGCGGAGCAGTCGGAAGACACTGGCTCTGTCGGGTAAAGAGATGGGTGTGGGGGCTGCCGAGTCCTGACTCACTGTCCACAGGTTCAGAGGCCCAGCCGATCACAAAGAACCTCAGGCTGGCAACTGTCCTCAGCTCCTCAGCCACCAAGTCTCCCTCCCCGTCTTCCCAGACTCGCTGCAAAGCCCACTTACTTGAAGAATCATTATTTTGCCATCAACACAAACCTGCAAACATGATCCCTGCGTTCCTGACTGACGATTAATAAACCTAAATCTGGGCAGATCCAGAATTGGCCTTCTTTTTTGAAACCATCTCAGCAAATAGAGAAATTACATCCAGGGGCTCCTCTTCAGCATGTACTTAGGTGTCAGGTCCCAGTCGCCAAAGACAAGTGAGCTCCTCGGCTCCTACTGCTAAGAATAGGCCCGGGGCACAGGCTCCATCCACGGGCATTTCCCGGTGGTCTCTAAGTAAGCGTTGTGCTTTTCCGTTCTCGTCTAGGGTCTGGGATGTGAACACGGGCGAAGTTCTGAACACGTTGATCCACCACAACGAGGCCGTGCTGCACTTACGCTTCAGCAACGGGCTGATGGTGACTTGTTCCAAGGACCGCTCCATCGCTGTGTGGGACATGGCTTCTGCCACCGATATCACTTTACGCCGCGTCTTGGTCGGCCACCGCGCTGCTGTCAATGTAGTAGACTTCGATGATAAGTACATCGTGTCTGCCTCTGGTGACAGAACCATCAAAGTAAGTCTCTCTGCAGTCATAACGCTGCTTGCTTCTGTCCCTTAGCACGGAAAGAGATTGAGAGGTGGCTTACGCCAGACCTAGTACCTGGCAAGGTCTTTATCTCTTCCATCCCATTCTACATGCTTCTAAAATTAAAGGCAAAGAAAGAGAAAAGGGGCCTGGGACCAGGATCGAGAACGGTCATGTGTTTCATGAAATGACATTATCGATAACCTTTTTAAGGAGAAAACTAACCTGCTGACCGTGTCCTGTGTGCGAGGAGCTTGTACGTTGTCACCTCGCTTCCTCCTGGCACTCCATTGCGGTAAATATTGCCTCCATTTTGCAGATGTGGCTCAGAGCGCAGAGCCGTGCTGGAGACCACACAGCTAGCCAGGGGCAGAGCCGAGATTTGAGTTATTCACCTCATTTCGAGAGCCTGCCATGCCTTAGACCCTGGGCCAGGTGCTGGAGATGGGATGATGAATAACACACGTCCCCAACACGTGGTGGGAGGTTGACGTGTGACAGGCAGTTGTAGTCTCAGGTGATCCGTACGATACGGTCAGTGCAGTTCTGATTCCAAAATCCATGTTAATTTTTAAAATTTTAGCCTTCTTAAATTTTTATAACAGCTTTATTGAGATATAATTCACACACCGTAAGATTCGCCATTGTAAAGCTCACAGTTCAGTTTTTCTTTAGCATATTCACACAGCGTATGTAACCATCAGTCGTTCCAGAATACTTTCACCTCCCTCCAAAAAACCCCATACCCGTTAGTAGTCAACCCTTATTTTCTCCCCAGGTCTGACAGTCATTAATCTACCTCCATCTGTGGACTTGCCTGTGCTAGATGTTTTCTATAAATGGCATCATATGATTTGTGGCCTTTCGTGTCTGGCTTTTTCCACTTGGTTTTCAGGTTCATTCATGTACATCGTAGCATGGATCAGTGCATTCATTCTTTCTAATGACTGAGTAAAAGTACATTAGGTGGATGTGCCACGTCTCACTTATCCATTTATCAGTCAATGGACATTTTGGTTGTTTACACTTTTACTCTATTATGAATAACCACCATAAACATTTGTGTGGGTATATTATATATTTTCAGTTCTCTTGGGATGGTAACTCTGTGTTTAACATTTTGAGGAACTGCCAAACTGTTTTCCAGAGTGGTTACAGCATTTTACAGTCCTACCAGCAAATGTATGAGCATTTGACCATTTGACTTGGACCAAAAAAACCTCCTTTTTATGACCAGCACTAGACAGCATTCTAGTATCTCACCCCACAGGTCTAGGTAGCATTGAACTTCAGACTGGTTGGTCTTAAAGCTGAACAACTGGGGATTGTATGTGGTAATTCGCTCACCACTCAGGCACCCAGTTGTTACAAGCCTAGTACCTGGAAGTCAAGAAGGTTCGGTCCTTATTACATAACAGCTGTTGCATAATATCGGCCTGGGGGATTTCTCCATATCCTTGTCAACACTTGTTAGTGTCTTGCCTTTTTATTATAGCCATCCTAGTGGGCTAATTTTTCTTTCTACTTCCTGATGACTCATGATGACAAGCACCTTATTGGCCATTAGTTCCAGATCTTACATTTAGGTCTTTGATCGATTTCGAATTAAATGCTTATATATAGTGTGAGGTAGGGTTTAACTTGATTCTTTCGCATGTGGACCTCTGGTTTTCCCATTCGACTGCAAATGCAGCTAAGAAAGTAATTCAGGGCCCTTGGTTGCCTTGCATCTTAACTGGCTTATGATGTATCATGTGTCTATGAACATCTAAGTTTTGCAGATAGTTTCACAAAAGAGGGATTACTTATTCCACATTCATAATATTAGGAATGATGTGTCAGAACAAATGGAGCTGTTCAGGATACGATGCTGAAAAAGAGGAGGGTGTGAAAGGTGAGGCTTTTTCACATGTTACGTTGGGTTTGACATGTCTGCTGGCCCAGACTCTTCCCTGTGCGCAGTTGAATGTCTGACCCATCCAGGAGATGTTCTCTTTGTGAAGATCTCAAGCTTCAGAGACTTCTCAACTCCCCTCTGTGTTTCATTCCAGTTTTATCACTCAGCAGCCAAGAAAATTTGATGCTGTCCAATCTGGCCCCCTAGCCTCCCACCTATTTTTTATAATTAAGTATTTTGATCAGTCTTAGAAGGTTTTTTTTTGTTGTCGCGTTGTTTTGTTTTAAGTATATGGCAAGGGTACTTTTCCGCATCTGCATCCATTCTTAAAAATAGTGCTAATTTGCTCTACAGGTCTGGAGCACGAGCACCTGTGAATTTGTCCGCACGCTGAACGGGCACAAGCGAGGCATTGCCTGTCTCCAGTACAGAGACCGGCTGGTCGTTAGTGGGTCGTCAGATAATACCATCAGGTGAGTAGCAGTTGACAGAACAGGCCGACCGATTTTTGCCATAATATTGACTCGTCTCCCAGTCCTAATGCTCAAAAGACTCGGTGTCTTTGGGGAAGCTTCAGATGAGAAAACGTAGATAACGTTTATTAGTCTGTTTGGCTCTGCACACTAAAGCGGGCAAACTGTGCGCCCTGGGTGTTCTTCCTAGATTTCCCCATGTGCACGGTTTTCTTGCCTCAGCTCCGCCCATGGTCACTTAATACCGGATCACCCCAGAACAGGGCACGCTCCAGCCTTCCAGCCCAGCCCTGCTTTCTCCGCCTGTGAGCGCCTGCCCCTCTCCCCAACACATGGGGCGGGGCGGCTCTGTCTGTCTCCCAAGACTCCTCTTTGGTCATTTATTTTAGTTCCTTTTTTTCTTCCCAACACTCACTGTCCTTCCTGTCTCATAAATAGGACTATCCTTAAACACTTTATATCTCATTAAGAACTTGCCGTAAATGTCTAATTATCTCAAGTTATTTTTCTACTGTTCCAATATGTGCTAGTAGTGTTTTTGTAACCAAATTGTCTACTGTTTGGGCAAAATAAAGATTGAGTTCGATTCTTTCGGAAAAGGAGGAAGGGAGGGGAGGAGGAAGGAAGGAACGCAGCTATAACTGCTATAAGTTTTATCTTTTTTTAAGATATAAAAGTTTAGTACTTGAATCTTGGTTCTGTTGTATTCACCATGTTTTGTAATACTTACTACTTCAGCAGTAAACAGCCCTTCACCTCCTCATTGCGATCGCTGAGGTTTTAGGAAATAATGTGTACTGCCCTACAGAGCTGCTCTGGAGTCAGTGGCAGTGCTGGATGGCATTCACAGTGGGTTAGAGAAGCCATCGTCGCTGACACTGAAGAGCAGACTGGCCGAGAGTGGCTGTGGTACACCATCCATTAGGTGTATGTGGTAGGAGTTACTGGTGCAGAGGCTAAGGAAAAGTCATTACAGAGTTAGTTTGCTGTTTTCTGCATGTTAGTTTGCTATGATGTCTTTTTGCAAATAATTTAGAAAAATCAATAATGGGAAAAAAATCTTTATTTCCAGAATTGTTACATAAATTATAGAGAAAAGGCCTGGATGTAGTCAGTGGGTTTATATTTCCAAGACACTGCATATAATGAGTCTCCCACTCCGACCTTGCAGACTGGACAACCGCAGTGTGCAGTGTATATCTAGGAAGGAGGGCGTCCCTAAGCCTCATCAGGAGAGGGAGACTCCTGTGCTGGTTCTGACATCAGGGGGCCTCGTGGCCTCCTGATGTCAGAACCAGCAAGAAGTGCCTGGGGCGGAAGCCTAGCCTCTGGCTATATATATGTCCCTCCCACTCCCTCGCCCCAACCCCAACACCCATGCTTTCCTCCTTTACTGCCTGCAGTTTCTGTCCCCCGCCCCCCAAAGAAGTCCTTCCTAGATAATTTGGCTACATGGTTTCATCAACTCAGACATCAAGACTGTCTAGGAACAAAATATAATCGAAGTTTCCCATTTGTTGACCTGTTTAAATAGGAATACACGCACACGATTTTGAAAAGTTCAAACTGTATGAAAGAAAATACAATGAAAAGGCTTCCTCCTAAGTTAGTGCTTAGAAACACAAACGGCATAAATGTACACATGTTTCTTTGTATGTGCATAGTGTCGTCTGGGAGTGAGCTAGAAATAGAGAATTCCAGAATAATGAGAAACACGTAAGGGACAGATGTAAAGAACTCGAGGCTGGGGTGATCCGATGTGAGGAGCTGTCACTCAGATCCGTTTCGTTCCAGGCTGTGGGATATCGAATGTGGCGCCTGTTTAAGAGTCCTAGAGGGACATGAAGAGTTGGTCCGATGCATCCGGTTTGACAACAAGAGGATTGTCAGCGGGGCCTATGACGGGTGTGTATCCCACGTGTTCAGACGCACTGCCGTAACCGTGTCAAGGGAGGGACTAGAAAGTGCTGCGTGTTGAGCAGCCGTGTGTGCCAGGCGCTTCTCATGCGATGGTGGAGGGCAGGTGTTGTTGTACCACTTGATCAGGTGAGGCCACACAGGCCAGAAATGAGCTGTCTTGTCCCAAATCCCGTAGCAGAGCCTCTGGGTTCCTAAACTTAAGCTTTTAACCGTTATCGTAAACGTTGAGAGTAGCTTAGGTTGTGTTTGCCTTAGTTTAGCTCTTAAACCAGGGCCGAACTCATTGTGTGAATTCAGTGATAAATTTTTTTCACGCTTTTGGTGAATTAAACGAGTCATTTTTTAAAAGCCTCACAACTTTTTAAATGAGCAAACAGCAACGAAAAACCTTTCAAGATGACCTCCTACATGTACTTCACAAATGGGTCAGTTGGCCTGTTTGCACCCCTATTGTTAACTTTCAGCATTTGCTTAGTTTGGAGAAAGGCATCCTTGGAATGTCACAGAGCCCTAGCTTCTGTCAGCGGCACCTAGTCAGCTCTGGGGAGCCCGCGATGAATGAATTTGGTGACATAGATTATCAAGTCAGGAACTGAATTCAGATAACCTGAAGTTGTTTTCTCGTCTCCCCTAAAATAGTACATCTTCACAATTTCAGCAATTCTGAGAATGTTTAAGTCCTTATTTTTCCAAAATCGAGTGTAATTGGTTTAAATAACTTGTAAAAACGCAAGCCTGTTCCCCGTGAACTTTTATCATAGGCAGTTCAGACGCACTCCTTTGTGGCAGGGAAGGGCTTGACGATATTTAAAATGTGAGCTTTTCCACTCATCGCAATCTCATTTTCCTTCCTAGGAAAATTAAAGTTTGGGACTTGCAAGCTGCTCTCGACCCTCGCGCCCCAGCCAGCACACTGTGTTTGCGCACGTTGGTGGTATGTGACCTGTTGAAACAGGAAGTGGTTCCCCGCACTGGCGGGTGGCCACCTGCAGATGCGCCTGTCTAGGCGTAGTGATAGAAGGCTGTCAGAGAAGCGCACTGCCTTGTCCCTTTGGTTTAGCCAGAGTAGAGAACTTCTTGCGTTTACTTGGCAGCGAGCCCTTTCCTGAGGCCTGTCCCACAGCCGACGGCGAGGGCAGGCCTCCCTTACAGGTGGGCACAGGGGTTTCCTTCCAGTGGGTTTGGGAGGTTTCTTCCTGTGCGGAGGGTGAAGCGCAGTGGACTTTGCAGAGTCGCAGAGGAATCCGGGATCGGCGGCTGTGTTTCCAGCCTGGGCCAGACCCCTGGTGGGGAGGCAAAGCGGCTGTGGCGGTCCAGGTTCCTCATCAGGCCATTCTGTTTCACAGGAACATTCTGGACGTGTGTTCCGGCTACAGTTTGATGAATTTCAGATCATCAGCAGCTCTCACGATGACACTATTTTGATTTGGGATTTCTTAAATGTGCCTCCCAGCGCCCAGAACGAGACCCGCTCTCCCTCCAGGACATACACTTACATCTCCAGATAACAGTCTGCACTTTCCCCGTTCTGGTGAGTACTTCCCTTGCTTCTGATTCCGCTGATGGAGTTCACCTTTTCTTTGGGGACGGTTTGTGATTCGGGTTTCTTTCTCAGTGCTGGGAACCGAGATGGTTAGTTTTTATTAGATACCTCAACTTGACAGAGTTCTGGTATAAGTCTGTATGTATTGTCACGGTCTCGTCAAAACGAGAGCTAAATTGGAATCCTGCGTATTGTGGGGTTTTGTACTGGCAGACAACTCGTTTCCTGTTTTTGAAAACTTTTCCTAAATGGTTTCCCTGTCATACCAACGTAGCATCAGTAAAGTCCCTCAGATTCTGTTCTGGGTTCAAGAATCTCCTTGTTCTCTTTTTCCTGCTCTTCGGTTCTTTTTTTTTTTTAATCATCATCAAACAAACATTCAAAATTACCTTCTCCCCCATCACAATTCACCTACCACCAGCGTTTTTTAGAAGAGGACTCGAAGAAGGGTGTTTGTTGAGAGAGCTCCTAAAACCTGTTCCTGGTTCATTGGACTCAGCAGGTGCTCTGGACTGCTCCGACTGCAAGGCAGCTTAGAGCTGTTAGAACCACCAGTGATGGCCGTGTTTTGATAACTAATGGGGTCCAGCCCTGTGGATGAGAAGCCTTAGCTTCCTGTGTCCTAGGAACTGACGACGCTGATGATCTGAAAGCGGTATTCCGAACTCTGAGAATTTTGCAAGGGGCCCAGTGAATTCTGTGCACATTTAACTTTGTAGATTGAATATTTTTGCACCTAGTTGTTCTACTACATATGTACATGTGGAAAGACTGGCTAATAAAACCCATTTTTATTTAAAAGTATTACTCAATGCTTAGTGGCTTTTTAGCATTATATTTTTTCCTGTACACTGAATATTAGAAATGTAAGGACAGTTGGTGTTCAGAATTGTGAGCTTTTTTGTTTGTTTGTTTTTAATGAAAAGATAGGGAGCCACTGCCTGATTTTTCGCTTACCACAGCAAGCTAGGAAGTTTTACAGTTTTAAATATTTGAAAAAATTAAAAGAATAATATTTCATGACATGTGGAAATTACATGAAATTTAAAGTCCAGCGTCCGTCAAAAAAGTTTTATTGAAACACAGCCACCCTCATTTGTTTAAGTATTGTCTGTGGCCGTTTTCATGCTTCGGGAGCAGAGCTGAGTAGTTGCAGTGGAGACTGTATGGCCTGCAACATCTAAAATGTTTACTTTCTGGCCCTTTCAAGAAAAAATTTGCTGACCTCTGGCTTGCCCTTATTCCATCTATTAGTAATAAACCAAGGGTCTGCATCAGGTATGGCAGTTTTTTCTTCACGTCACTCAGTTTTATTAGCAGTGACTGGCTAGTGTCTGCTTTTGAAAGGATTCTGGGATCCTTTGTGGACCCAAAAGACCAGAGCACCATGAAGAGCTGGCTCTGTCTGCCTGGGTATAGGAGGCGAGCCACGGCAGCGACCTGCAAGCCACATTTATAGATGCTGTTCTCTGATCTTAGGTGTGTTCATACTGCCTCTTAGGTAATGACCATCTTCCTTGCTGCTTTCTCTCTGGATATATTCTTCACAACTCAGTTGAAAAATCCATGTGACAGAATTTTTACATTTATTGAATAGAATCTTAAAATAGACATTATAAGGAATTATAGAAGAAGAAGGCAAGGATCTCTTGAATGATCGCCCCTCCCTGCCTCAGCCTCCTTTCCCCAAAAGCCTAAGGGAAATACAGGGAAGGAGGAATGGACCCAAATGGAAACTGGTTTCCCTCCTAGTCTGTCTTTTTCCTCTTCAGCCAACCCTCCCTCTTGCCCCCAGCTCGGGTCATCTTAGCACTTTCTCTGTCTGCCTCACTGGCCACTGCTGTCTGCAGGGTCAAGATCCAGCCTCTTGAACGAGCTGATAGGAGTTTCAACATCTAGCTCTCACCTTCCTCCTCACCGCCACCACTACCCCACCCCACCACTACCCCACCCCACCATCCCGTCATTCCCTCTTGAAAGTCCAGTGCTCTAACCAGATGGAATTCTGTTGAATTGCTTTAATTAACATTTTAGTGGTGCAGACTCCACACCTCCCCTTGCTTGTGCCCCACACACACACACATACACACACACACACACTCTCTCTCTCTCTCTCTCTGCCACCCCTTTCCTCTGAGTTACTTTACTGTTTGGTGTCGAAATGGTTTGCATGCCTGTCTGACAAGGCTGTGGAGCCCATCGTAGCGTGCCTCGTGTATCGTGAGTGCTCACTGGTGTTCATTGGGCAGGTGGCACTCAGGGCAAATGTGACGTATTTGTGCTCTTTTTTCTAGGCCATAAAGAATGCCCATAAATAAATAAGTGTGTGAAACCGGAGTGTATTCATGCAGTCACTTTAAATCAATTTTATTAAGATACAGTTTGTGTAAAATAGATCCTACTCATTTAAAGTGTGCCGATGGATGAGTTTTTACAAACGTGTGCGCTCCTGCGGCTACCAAGATAAGATACATAACTGTCACCCCAAAAGTCCCCTCGTGCCACCATTGCCGTCAGAGCCCGGCGTGGCGCCGCAGCTTCAGCAAACACCGACCTGCTTTCTGTCCCTAGATTAGTTTACCTTTTCTAGAGCCGCACTCACCACTGTAGTAGTCACCAGCCATGTGTGGCCGTTGAGCTCTTGAAAGGTGGTTAAGAATGGAATTTTTACTTATGTTTAATTGAATTTAATTGGATTTTTAATCATATATAGTTATCCTTTATTTAAACAAATTCAGATAGTTACACGTAGCTAGTAACTACCGGTTTTGGACCGGTGCAATTTGGAAGTGTATGTTTTCAGCTTTAACATCTAGGCCTGTGATCCACGTAGAGCTCGTTTTTGTGGATGGCGTGAGGTAGGGACGTCGTCGCTCTTGTTGTCGTACAGTCAGCTAGTTCTAGCACCGTTCGACTAAAAGACTTTCCTTCCCATTGAATTGCTTTAGTGCCTTTGTCAGAAGCTCAGTCGACCCCTGGCTCGTAGGTCCGTTTCTGGACCCTGTCCTGTTCCGTACCAGTGCCATGTCGTCTCATAAATCTTGCAGCTTTTAAAAAATGGTTTTGACCGTTCTAGGCCCTTTCGGTTTTCACATTGAATTTTGAATGAGATCGTCTAGTTCTGTGACGATGACTGCTTGGTTCATGATTAGAACCGCGTTGACTCTAAAGGTCATTTGGGGGAGAATTTTCCTCTTGAAGTTCGTTGAGTCTTCCCAGCCATGAACATGGCTCCGCTCTATTATTTAGGTCTTCTTCAGTTTCTGTGAAGCAGCGTTTTGCGGTTTTTAGTGTAGGCGTCTTGCACATCTTTGGTTAAATGTATTCCGTTCTTAGCTCTTCGTTTTCTAAGCCATACGTTGCCCTCTGTGCGTTGTGCTAGCTGCGGCAGGCCTCTGCTCTCAGCTTTTCACATGAGAGAAGCACGTAAAATGCCGACGTAGACCACGCCACTGGGCGGCGCTATGGGGCGGAGAGGCTCGGGGGAGGAGGGGTATCAGAACGACTTCTCTGGCGTCTTCGATATGTGTTTAAAGAGGCGCAGGGTACAATTCAAGACATCCACAGTATGTTTGTCCACCTCCTGGTGTACTGAATAGACGCACTGCAGAAATGTTCACCAATTGGACAACTTTGATATACTACTTCAAAGTGCCCTGAAACAAGATTCCTTTGGTTGAGGGATGAAGTCATGACACCAGTGCCGGTTCATTGGCTTTGGTGGAAGGGAAGCTGGTGTCACCTAAGAACAAACGCCTCGTTGTGACCCACCGTTATAAATGAGTGGAAAGACCTTATCTGCTTTTTAAGCAGCACGAGTAATGAAACCTCAAATGCGTTTGTCTCTTCAAAGTGCATTACTTTTGACAAGCTTGGCAGTCAACTTTATAGATTTTATTGCTCTTTTCCAAATTCTTTTCATTTATTTTAACATAAAAAAATTATTGCCATGTGATACTGTAAGATTTATGCATAATAAGAAACACTACCCTAATGATGATTTAATCTTGCAGTAAAATATTCACTCCTAAAATAATTAGGTGAGGGTACTTCTGTGTACAGGAAACCTAGCAATAGATATATTTGCCGAGTCATTTTTTAAAAAATTACTAACTCGTTAAGAGCTACATATACAGTAGATCTCATTTTTATTTTTAGTAACGAGATAATATGAGATCATTGTTAGGAAATCAGGGGGAAAAAGATAAGCCAAAAGAAGAAAATAAACTCCTCTTCATGGTTCACCATTGTTAACTGCTTTGCAGATACCCTTTTAAGCATTTAAAAATATGGTCGATAATTACACGTTTTAAAATGCCTTTTTTTCCTCTTTGTTGTGAAGTTGTTGCATGTTAATAATGTCAGTGTTTGCCTAAATTGCTGTCCTTAAGGACAAAATAATATTTGATTGTTTGACTGTGTCCTGTTGTTACATATTTATGTCTCCCCCCAGCTTTTAGCTATTAGATAACACATGACAAATTTTTTTTTTTTTTGTGGACATCATGGGAAGCTTTTGTTTTTTTTTTTTTTTTAAGCTTAATCTTTGCCCAACCCTTTATACCTTTGGCTAGAATTCTAGAAATGTCTGGAGTGTCTGGGTTAAAAGGCATGACATTTAAGGACTTCTGATAAATAGACTCATATTGCCCTCTAGAAGCGTTAAATCAGCTTACATCCCCCACCAGCAGCATTTGAGAGGATCTGCTGCTTATCTCTGGGTGTTTGTGCTTTAAAAATCATTCAGGTGCTCTTAAATATACATGGGAAAACAGTGGCGAATGAAATTGAATCTTTCTTGAATTCATTGAGAGGGCTTATTTGGAACCTTGATCTTTATGAAAATAATTGATAATCTTTTAGGAAAGTTACCTTTTAAAAAGCACACAGGCTTTAAAAAAAATCCCTCCCTCCCTCCGTCTCCCCCTATCCCCGACCTACAGGTGACTTTTAGATCTGCGAGGCCAGTGATGTAGTGCAAGTGGTCGGAAAGGGTTGTGACGCATGCGTGATCGTGAAGTCATTTTAATGGAATTTGACTTCGTTATGATGAGGTTTAGAGTAGAAAATGTCAGCGCACATTGCACACGGTAACGATAAGTCTTGTGCCTGAATGTTCTGCTCACTTACGCGGTCACGCGTGTGTCATGTTTACGCACGTGGGCGAATGTAGAGGTTATGATTGAAATGTGTACCTGACTCAGTCACGGTCCAAAAAATATGGACCATTCAGTCGTCTTTTTTTCTACATCGTGTTGTCCTTTTATTGATCATTTATTTCAAAAAGAAGTAATTTCTGATGACTAGCATTCTATTTAGCACGGACATTTTATTTACTAGCTTTTCATATTTTCATTTCACAATGATGAGTGATCTCAGGAGAATATGAGACGGACCATCATAGGTTCTGGGTGTCATGAATTTTGCTGACTCTAAAACCTGACGTTAAGCATGTTTTGTCGCGTGCTTAGTTTTGGGCGGCAGCCCCGAACGACGAGACGGTAGGTTGGTTGTGGGGTCGGGCACTGCTTTCACCCCGCTCCCCGTCTCAGTGACTGGTGCTTTGAACCGAGCCTTCGTTGTCTTGTTTGTGATGCGGGTCTAATAGCTTGTACCTCGTAAGGTTGTTGTGAAGTGTAAATAAAATGATGCCTGGTATGCACTGCACTCAAAACAACTCGAAGCTTCTGGTTTTGATGCTGTGGTGCGTATCTTCATGTCTAACCGGAATTTCCATCCGTGCTCCCTTTGGTTTTGTTTGTTTTTCCCCAGGGGTTTCCTAGTCTTGAACTACTGGCTACATGGCTACCCAATGCCTAAGGGAGTTCTTCACGGCTGAGTTATGAAGCTGGAATTGGTTCTAGACGCTGGGTAGATGCGAAGCAGCCTAACTCTTCAAGTACTGACCTTTCTCACTTCCGATTCCAGCCTCCACTTGGAGAAGGATACCTTAGCTTCACCGACTTCAAGTAGGACAGAAGCCCATTTTCTCCCCCCATCAGTGAAAAAAATCTAACGCTTCAAGTGTAAATTGTCCATGTAAAAGGAACGGACGGTCTGCCGGAAGTAAATCGACAGTCAAGAGAAGACTTGGCCTCTAATTTATATCGCTTTGCACTTTGGTCTGATGTTAAGAAGCAGCATTCTTCGGTGAGACTTGGGGTGCCAAACACCTACCCAGAACGTCCAGGGCTTTCCTTTGGGAAGTTAGCATTCTCCTTTTGACTGTCCACGTCTTTCTGAATTCTGACTTGTATTAAGAACATGTTGGACAATGGAAAAATTTCTCTGGATGGTTTTAGTAATATTTTTTGGATTACACTTCCCTTCTGTATCATTTCTTTTAATTTAAAGAACTGTAAGCAAGGCTATATTATCTCCTAACAGATAATATAGCTTTTTTATTAACTGTTCTCTGTACCCCACCCATCTCCTGATATTCGGTAGAGTAACACCTTTACACACGTGCTTGCCTCCTAATTTAAAATACTGTATCCGCATGTAGATATAATGTACATAACAGTTTAACCTCAAGGTTGCTGGAGTCGGGGCCCCGGGCCTGAGACACTAATGCAGAGCGCGTTCGCACTCGGCCGTGGGCTGGGCTCAAGAATCAACGCCAGGGTTGCTGTGGATTACCTAGAACCCTTCCTACAGTATTCATACGGTGTTTTTATTTTGTCATTGTCCTCGTGTGTGCGTGGTGAGTGTTTTTAACGGGAATCTTGTTTTAAAATGTAATCTCTAAAGCTTAACACAGAATGTTTGCTTGGTTGTGCAGTACATACGATGGAAAGGTACCTTAACATTTTTTCGTTCTTTTCCTCGTTAAGTGCTCCTGAGTACTAGTGGTCACTTCCCGTAGTATTCATTCGACGTCACTGGCAAAGTCATTCTGTGCGTTAGTAACCTGGGGACGGAGAACAGCAAGGCCCTGTCGACAGGTTTCCTGGCTCTAGCAGTCACGCGTCCTGACCTTGTCGGGGGGCCGGCCGGCCCTGCTTGCGTGCCGGAGCCCACGTGCCGGGTCAGGCTGGTTCAAGGGCCCGTGTCGAGTGGAAGGACGCAAAGCCTCAAGCTCACGAATCTCGTCCCCGTCATCTGGTGTCATCCGGTGTCACCTGCTGCGGTGGCCCCGGCAGCTTCTCCGAGCTCCCGTGTGCTGGGCAGCCCGAGTGTGTGACGGGCACCGCCGTGCTGACGGTGCATGGGAAGGACCTTGGCCTCCGGTGGGCGCTCCTTTCCCCCGTTCAGTATTAGGTTTCGATTTGCCCCTCGCCATTGTTTCCAAAGATCAAGGAATGTCGATACCATTTTAAAGGACCAATGAGAACCTCCTGTCAATCGAGAGCACCTCTTCCCGGGGAGGTGCTCTGTACTACTCAAGGGAGGGTCCCCAGGCTCTGTTCGTCCTTCGCATTGAGAACGGTGTGGGGATCAATGTGCGTGTGTGTGTGTGATTTGTTTATTGGGTTGGCTTTCCTTTTCCTTTTTTTTTTTTTAATACATCCCTCCTTACATGTCACTAAATTAATTTCTATTTTTGAGAAGTTGAGTCTCAAAAGTGTAAAAAAGAAATAGGCTCCATTCACAAGGTGGGTGCTGTGAGCTGGACGGCGGCTGTGGGAGCGAGGTGGCTGTCCCCGCCCTTCCCCCTTCCCCCGCAGCTGCACTAGCAGCCGGGTCAGGAGAGCCCCGGGGGTGGGGGGAGGGAGAGGCAGTTCTTCTGAATGAATGGACTTTTCGTTGTTGTTTTTGCATGTTTAATATAAAAGTTCTTGTTCCTTGGGAGATCATGGCCTTTGAATATGCACACAACCCTTGAATTGTGCCTACTAAATTATAGCAGGGGACTGGCACCCAAGGAATTCTGACTTTCTGGGATGATCGTAGTAATTCCCAGCCGTACTCTGGACTTTATTTTGCTAACCATAATTGAGCAACTGTAAATTACTGCTATATTAATGTTTTAAAGCACTGGGATAGTCTAATTCTAACTTGTAATTAATTATGTTTGCCAATTATCTGTTTGAAATAAATTTGTGTCTGAACAGCTATTGAAGCTGTTAAATTGTACAGATATTATTCATGACAGCTTTGTACTGTGGAATGTGCTTAATAAAAAACAAAAAGTTGACCTTTGTCCAATAAATTGCTAAGTAATGTCAGTAAATCAAGTATGAGTATTAATGCAATACATCTAATCTGGCTTCATGCAATTGTTACTTCAGCTACTAATTCAAAGCCAATACTCTAATAAAGTGTTGCAATACTCTAATGTTCTGTTCAGAAATTTTTCAAACAAAAAATATCATGTGCTGTTTGTAATTCAGTGACATACAATTAAAGTTTATAGATTTGAAAAATCATCTGCTCTGTAAAGTGACGTGGAAAGCTTCCGGCCTGTGAGAGCTGTGTGCGATCACACCGTCCGTGCCTTGGGGTCTTGTGCTGAAAGCTGACTTGAACTTCAGGAGCTGGGGCCAGTTCAGAAGTCCTCCCAGCAAGGCCGCTTCCCTCGAGTACTGCACTGCATCACGAGTTACCGTAAAATGAGGAAATGGCCCTTGACGTGCCCCCAGTGGCTCCCGCGTGAGCGGGTCTGTGGTCCTTGGAGAAGGGGGGTGGAGGCGTGGGCACGCACTGGTAGCCACACCCCCTCGCACTTCGGACGTGAAATTGTGCAGTTTTGCACATGGGCCGGTTCACACATCACCAGTTAAGTACTAAAGCAGAAAGAATACAGTCAGTGTCTGCAGGATTCTGCTCAGGAGTCCTGAGCACTAGCAAGAGTTCTCTGGATAGCTAGATTTTCCCTTGTTAGTCAACGAATTAGCAATGTGGAATTTGAGGATGAAATTAAGAGTATTCCTATACCGTATTGCCCCCACCCATTTTTTTCCTGTTAAAAATGTTTTAGAAATACATAATATGCATATGGTTAAGAAAACTAGTTTACAAACCGTAAAACGATGAGTGAAAAATGATTCTCCCTTTGGCCCCTGAGCCTCAGTCTCCCCGTTCATTGCTGACCAGTTCTTTGGCATATTCTACTGAATGGATAATTCTCTGTGTAGAAGAGTCTGTGTATGTCTATGTGTGTGTATAGATACACAGCTAAATGAATTGTGGTGCATCCGCATGGCACGTGCACACACACGGCCACCCCACTGCCTTTTAACCTCAGCAGTAACATGCTGGTCGTGCTGTACTGCACCTTTTAATGATCCATTAAATATTCAGGTGATCATTCCGTGTCAGTCGATGTAATTCGGCACCTCATTCTTGCTCATGGCTGCATAGTATTTGGTTATAAGTATGTGCCATAATTTATTTAGCTCGTTCCTTGAGGGTGGATTTTTAGGTGGTTGCCTTTTTTCCCCTATTTTTTTCCACAGGTCTTTCTATCCCTGCCTGCGCTTGGCACGATGAACTGTTGGTGTTTGGGGCGAATCCTCAGCAACAGCAGAATTTACCACTGCTCTAATGTGGGAAGAATCCCAGGTGCTGGGCTGCATCTTCATCCCTGCGCAGTCTCTCCTGCCCCCACACAGTTAGTGTTCAGTAAATACTAGCTTTTTCCTCCCTTGACAGGTGAAGGGAGGAAATTCACTGCAAGGAATTCACAGCGACGAATTCATTACTATATTA